TAGGGCTCAGACCTCATTTTTTTTTTTTTTAAGATTTATTTATTTATTAGTACAGAACTGGGGAACAGGCCAGAGATGTGGAGGGTGAGAGGATTCACCAGAGACAGAGCAGGGAGCAGAACAGGCAGATCACCAAAGTACACTGCTGAGGAGAGCAGCAGGCCGGTCAGGAGAGGTCTGCCACGCCATGTGGATTTCCTCTGGGGTAGGCGGGGATTGAACTCATGCATAAGTGGCTTAAGTTTCTTAGTGCTGTGCTTTAACCTGCTGCGCCACCAGGGAGGGCCAGACCTCATTATTTTTAAAAAATAAAAATTCCCAGGTGACTCTAATCAGCATCTCACTTTAAAATCAATGCTTTCAAGTCTTTTCACATCTTCTTATCCTTAAATGAGGCTGGGCAATTGGTGACTGATCACCTCCACCAATTAGGAAAAAGTCCTTTTACTCAAGGAATTTCAACTGGCATCTATCACCTTCCTCTCCTGAGGTAGGACAGTGGCAGGGAGGATTATCCTTAGGTTGTGTCATTTCCTTTAACATTTGAAGTCAAAGTTATATTGTTAGCTTTCCAGCTTCATAGGAGGCCTCAGGAAAAGAAACTCAAGGTAATAAGCAGGCAAACCTTTCCTCAATTGTTCTGAAAATGCACCTTGCAGTCTCCCTCAGGGATCCATAATATTGGATCCATAATATTGACATGGACAATATATACCTACATTATCTTTCTCTGCTGAATGGCTGACCACTGAAAGTCATGATTTTATTGCTCCCTAGAGTCATCCCTGTGGCAGTGGTCTTAAGACATTTAATTTATGTCTACATTAGTCAGTCTTTAAAATGGCCTTCAATTATTTCTTCTTTTTGTTATTTATACCCTTATGTGATCCCTTCCCTTTGAATAGAGGCAGAAGTTTAAGATAAGGGATATAAAAACACTGTGGCTTCCATTTGGCTCATTCACACTCACAATCCTTCTGAGTCCTTACTATATGAACAACAAACTGTAATGTTCTAAGTAGTTTTAGGGAGAGGTCCAAGTGGCAAAAGTGAAGTTTCAACCCAGGAGTCACTAAGGACCAATGGTGGATTCCTCTTTAGGTTGAACATTTAAATTGATTGATTGATGCACCCCTTGCCAACATCTTAATTGCAGCTTTATAAGAAAGGAGAACCAGAAACACCTAAATAAACCATGATCACAGGCTCCTGACCAAATCAGCTAAATTTACCATTTTAAACCACTAAGTTTTATGTAATTTGTTATGTAAGAAAAACTAAAACTAACTTTGCTAAGAGAAAGGCCAGTTGTCTTTAAGTTAAATCTCACTATCTACATTTCAATTATTAGTTATGGTGAGATCAAGAAAATTTTGTATAGCCTTTCATAAATTGAATGTGAAGATTTGGAAAATGGAACTACATACTGATCTGGAAGTAAAATGAAAAAGTAAAAGCCATTTCCTCAAGTGAGGGTGAATACTGGTGAGGAATTATTAAAAAGAGATTAGGACTTTATTTATTTCTAGTTTCCTATCATGTCTCTTCAATAGAAAAGAAACTAAATTTTCTTGACAAACCATTCAAAATTAGAGGGTAACTGGGAGCATATGTAGACCTAACAAAACATCACCTTCAATTAGAGTATCTTGAACAAATATCGAAGTGGAATCAAGAGTTGCCTGACAACAGTGCTGAAACAATCTAGTTTTAATGAACTATTTCATATTCATATACACATTAAGGAGTCACACCAGAGAGATCAATTAATAAGTATCTATCTCTAAAATCCCTGTTTTATGGTGATCATAGAGATGATCAAAAGTGGTAATCATCTGGTACCCACAAATTAGTCATAGTGGCCTGCTTCTATTCTGGCATATCTATCAGTAGTATATTCTAATTGACCAATGAATACTCATATTGGTTTTTTGTTGTTTTTTTTTTCTTTTTAGATTTCTTTATTTATGCATACAGTACTGGGGATACAGGCCAGAGGAGCAGGGGTGATGAGAGGATTCACCAGAGACAGAGTGGGGAGCAAAATAGGCAGATTGGTGAAGTACACTGCTGAGGGAAGAAGCAGGCAGTCCAGGAGAGGTTCTGTCACGCCATGTGGATCACCTCCATGGCCAGGGATCGAACTCGCACTGGAGTGACTGCAGCCAGCTTGCAGTGCTGTATCCTAACCTGTTGTGCCATCAGGGAGAGTCCTCATACTGGTTTTTAATATTTTTATTATAGCTGTTGTTCATGATGTACTTCAGGTAAAGTTTTAGTTTTCTCTAGCCATATGTTATCTTTTTGAAAAGTCAGACTATGAGAGGTACAGAATCCCTTGTGTTTTATTCATGCTCAAGTGTGCCCATAGGGTGGTAGTATAATGAAGCCATATGGTAAACTTTATACATCTTTGTGGTACATCACTTTTGCTCATTGGAGTGAGTTTCATATTAATACAAATCTATTATAGAAAAAAATGCATAAGTAATATGAGTTTTAAGAAAAAAGTTTTCAAGAAATTTTGTGGTTTATGTGAGTCACCAATACATGATTCCTTGGACTCATTCTCTATCTTTACTGTTATTTGTATTTCAGTAGAAAATTGTAAGAGGCATTGACTTTAGGGTATTTGTGGTTTTAGAATTGCTTTCACTACAGCTGGATTCTGTAGTCCATCCTTTGTGTTCTTTTTCACTCTAGAAAATTGTAAGAGCAAACTAAGGAATTAATAATATATCTTCAGATTCTCTTCTCTTATATCACTAAGTTAAATTTATATCCAAGTCAAAATTTGATAATTTATATTATAGTTTTTAAAGTGAAAGTATTTTAGCTCATTTTATCTTTTAAGTAACATTTTAGAAAAAGTTAGTATGTTTATATGTATATTTTGAGCAATGTTCTTTTTTGTGCAAATAAAGGGATGCATATAAGAGTTGAATAGGAATCAGGATCGGAAAGTATATCATTTCTTTCCTCTTTGTGAGTCAAATAACCACACTATAGATTAATCATTGTGCTTGAAATGAGTTTCAAAAACATGTCCCATCTGCATGCAGATGTAAGGAAATTATCTCAATAGAAAATTTTTAAAGGGAACCACTCGTCAACAATACTAATAATCTAAGAGTAAGAAACCCAAACCAAGTAATATGGGCTCTTATTACTGAGTGCTCTATATCTAATTAGCTGCATAAATTTGTATCATAGTCTCAATTTCCTGATCTATAAATGAATAGGAAGGACTTTTTATGGTCTCTCTCAGTTTTAGGATTGTATAATTCTGTGTGTAGCTAGGGCTTTTCTTTTCTAAAATTTGCATATAAACACAAAGCAATAGGGAAAAAATTAAAATAAATGTTTGTGGAAAGATTTTGTAGATGACCTGTACTATTAGATTGGATTTACAACTACATATTAGTGTTGTTTAATTCAACATTGCTGTGTAATTTGATCATAACTATACTCTATAAACAAAAAGTCTTTGATCCTAACATAGCTTGTATTTATATGTACATGCACTATTTCTATTTAAATGTCCACATTACATGTTTCACCCTAACATTAAAAGTTAAGTCAGATTGAGCCCTCCTTGGTGGCGGAACAGATTAAAGCACGCATTATGAAGCTCTCTGAAGCCGTGCAGCATGAGTTCGATCCCTGGCCAGGGAGGTAACCCACATGCTGTTGCAGATCTCTCCTGCCCTGCCCATTGCACCCTCAGCAGTGTACTTTGTTAGTCTGCCTGTTCTGCTCCCCACTCTGTCTCTGGTGAATCCTGTCACCATCACACCTCTGCCTGTACCCCAATTCTGTAAACATAAGTAAATAAATCTTTAAAAAAATAACTAAGATTATTCTTTATGAATCTTCTTTGTTATCCAAACATTGAATAAATTTCTATAAAAACAGATTATTTACAGATTCTTCTAGGCACTAAGGGACTGAATATAAAAATATGTTCTCATCCACTTTTGATATGTTCACAAGACTCTAGTCACAGAACCTGACCTAGGAAGCTAGGCTAGCAAGGCTCTTGAATCAGATTGCAGTTTATAATTTCATTTTGCTTCTCATAATATCATTTATGGCACCTCCCGGAGTCTATCTGAGAAAGAGCAGTTCTTTCTAATTTCATGAAGCCCAGTCGTAAAAGTCAGCCAGAAAAATGTCAAATGAATCTGTTGGATCTGTTGACTTAGCCATTCATGTAACCCACCTGTAAATGTATTACTAGATTTTTATAAAAAATAAGGGAACTAGAATGAAATGACAACTTTTTTTTTTAAATTAAAACCATAATGCTTAGCATACTAACAGCTTAAATTAGATAAATGTTGACCACCTATAATTGGTAAATTCATGAAGTGCTACAAAATCTGATAGTGGAAGAATTATGATGTGGACATTTTTTTTCCCGATAAGCTCATTATTTTTGCCCATCCTCACGCCATCCTAATATCATGGGCGTCAAACCTCTTGCTATGTTCTCTATTTTGGACATTTTGTTCTTGCCTTCTAATAGGAAAGCAACTTTCAGTGTTGCCATATTTTGAGTGGCAGGGATTTTTAGAGATTAAAAAACTGCTAACTTTATGCATATTTTAAAAATATTAGACTTTTCTCACTCTTTAAGTCAGCTATGTTATTCTAACTTTAAAATCCGTTACAGTTTTTTTCTCTGCAGTGATTTTACTTATACAGTCTAATTGACAAGAGAATGTGGCAAAACATATTTAACCTTTTTTTTTATACCATTCCCTGTGAGACATCTATTGTCAAACTGCTGCAGGCTGTCATTTTTGTCTGCTATCCAGGATTTGCTGGCCCAAGTGCTGTGTACCAGTCTTGGTTTTGCTACAAGGGGGAGGGGGAACTTGCAATTGAGCCAGATGGTTTTGTTATTGCTTTAAAATTAAAAGCATATGAAACAGATACAGCTTATTAAGGTTGTTTTTTTTATAAATAACATAAATTTAAATAACAAAACAATGAAGTTCAAATACAACTTAAAATAGAGTTTAATGCTGTAACCACAGGGGAAGAAAGCATGATTATTCATGGGAAAAACATTATTAAAAGCCATATTCCCAAATATGAATTATACAAAAGATAGATTATGTTACTTAAGAAAAGACTTAAAGATTTTCTGAATTTTACTTTCATGAATTATAAAATGTTATTTTGTGGCAAGTGAGATGAAGTACAGTATTATCATCATTATTACTATTTTATATACAAGATTTTTAGAAACATCCCTTTAGAACTGCTCTTTCAACTTAAGCAGTAATAAGAATTTGTTCTTGATAATGGGTAGAAGCATTTTCTAATCCTATACTTTTCTAAAGCTACCCATTTGACTAAATTCAGTAATGGAATTTTAAAAAATATTCTTCATTTCTGATTGCATGATTTAAGTTTAAACAGTTTATATTGTTTTCACTAGGAAGCATTTCAAATACTACTCATCTTCCATAGTTAGTGTTGGCTTGATTATCTGACAAATCATTCCAGCAGCCTTTAGGTCTGACATATATAACATCATCTGCATTATTATTATTATAGCAGCCATTTTGTAAGCACATAGGAATATTTAAATAACCATCAGATAATCAAATCTAACATACTCTTAAGGGTAAATTAATTTAAAAAAACATTACTATTACTAACATCATGATTGTACAACCAGTTTTACAATTTTTTACAACTTTTAGTTACTAAATCTGATTTTTGTGTATATTTTTCAAATCTTTCTTTAATGCAGTCTCTTAAAATAAACAATAAATGCGCAAGTCCAGCTTGATCAGTTTTTCAGTAGTTTTCCAGCCTTTCTTGATTACTTTTTAAAAAAAGAAAAGGAAAGAAAAAAGAAAGAAAACAGTCCACTTAAGAAATCTCCCTGCTGGAACTGGTTTCTTATATACCACATATGATTAGGTTATTGCCATAGGAAGAAAGTGGGCTGTTTTTTGTTCTTTCTTCGTTTTTTTCCCTCTTACAGGAAAACCCTTTTGATTTAAGGCAACAAACATTTCTCCTCCACTGTGTGTCCATTTAGCTGATGCATATGTGTTGTAATGATTTTCCAGAATTAATTCTTTGAAGTTGCAATCTTCATTGCATTCTTTCTGTAAAACAACAAAGAAACATTGAAAAGAATTTTAGAGGAATTCAGTTAAACAAAGAGTAAGTAATATTTGGTAAAATTAAAACATACATATATTTATCAGCATGTGAAGTTATATTCTTAAAATATATATGGTATTATTACACCGATGATAAAGGAAAGTTTAAATTTATAAAAGGCAGTTTAAATTTTAAAAAATAAAATAAAATGATATACTTTAGTTAGGCAACATTTTCAAATAGGCAACTTTTTGGCAGTTACTGCTACTACTTTTTAGTATTAAGAGCTATTACTAGTAGCTCTTATATTACTATGCCCAAGTCACTTATTCCCTAACCACTAGAATTTTATTTACTTTGTAGAAACTCTGTCTACATCAGCTAGAGAACATATTTCACAACTTTTTTTTCTTTTACTACTATACTGTCTATGCTAATGATGAAAAATTGGTTTATTCTCCATACAATTATCTTTAATTCATTCAGTTAAACCTATATTTTTATATAATTAGCCTATATCAGATATTATACTAGACTGTACTAGAAAAAAACAATTATACTTTACTGCAGTGGGGTGAGTTGTTACATATTCAACATTGTAATAAAGTGAGAACAGTGGGAATGCCTACAGTTCAATCTCATGATTGTGAGATTGACGTTGATAAACAAACTTCTGGATTTTTCCCCAAGAATTTTCATGTCAGCATGTGCAAATTGGGTGAACATTAACAAAAAGAGCTTTAGTATTGACAGATGGAAATTTTAGATTTTAAGTGTCAAAAATGCACATGGAATTTTAGAGTTGGAAGAAAATTTAGAGGTTAGTTAGTCCAACATTTTACAAATTAAGAAACCAAAGTCCAGAGAGATTAAGCAATTTGTCCATGATCAAGCAATATTTTTTATTAATGTCCAAATATTAAGTGTTTCAGTTGAGTCATTAAATTATATAATTGGAACAAAATTAACTCCTTTTATACTTTTTAGAAAGGCAAGATTTTTTGACAGTTTAAAAAATTAAGTCTAAGCTTTTAATTATCAATACCTTTGCATAAAGTTTTCCTTCCTTGTTCATTGCAAGATAATATTCACTCTCCACACCTTTGATTGCCACAATTCCAACTGCCACTGTCCTGATTTCCATGATATCTGCAGGGAATTATGAAAAAAATATCAGTTAATCACTCACCTTTGTAGATTATCCATTTTTTCTGTTTCAATCATAAGTTATTAAGAAATTAATATGATTATTCAGTCTGAGACCTCTTACCCATAAAACACACACACACACACACACACACACAGCAATGTCGTCTTTATTAAGTATGGAAAATACTATTTGTTAAAGCTTTATATTATAAAGATTCAAAGACATAATTACATATGTGAATTTTTATCATTTTATTCAATGGAATTACATTTCTCATTTACCATAACAATAGCAATAAACATTTATTGAGCTTATATCACATGCTATAGATTATTCCAACTTTCTTATATATTTCCTCATTTACTTGTCACCATAGATTATGAGGCAAGTAATCTTGTTACCTCAGGTTACCGATAAAAAACTCAGGCACAGAGAAGTTAAGTATCTTAACAAATTTCATAGCTAGTAAGTGGCTTAAGTGCAATTTGAGCCTTATATAATACTATAAAATTGCATTACAAACTAACATCTTTACTTTTCTATTTTCTATTTTATTTCAAAAAATATTGCTAATAAAATATTTTGTTAATATATTGAAATTGAATAAAATTTCAGTTTTGGTAAAGGAAGGTTAAAAAACTTTCTGCCTAAAGAAAGATTAAGTAGTTTAAACTGATAGATTTTTGACATATTAAAAGACAATTTAAAACTATTTTATGAATCCAATTCATATAATAATTATAACATAACTTTCTATCTTATTTTCAATTTTGTATTGAAGTAACATGTTATTAGATTGTATAAGATTCAGTTGTCCAGTTGAGAATCATTCTGTGTATATATTACATTAAGGTCAATTTTTTTTTAAAGATTTATTTATTTGTGCATACAGAACTGGGGTACAGGCCAGAGGCTCAGGAGCAGCGAGAGGCTTCACCAGAGACAGAGTGGGGAGCAGAATAGGCAGATTGATAAAGTACACTGCTCAGGGGAGCAGTGGGTGGGTCAGGAGAGGTCTGCCATGCCATGTGGTCACCTCCAGGGAAAGCATGAATCGAACTTATGAGGAAGTGGTTTTAGCTTCTTAGTGTTGTGCTTTAATGCGCTATGCCACCAGGGAGGGCCTAAGGTCAATTTTTAAATTTTTGTTGAAATGTTTACAGAATTGTTGAAATGCAGTTATCTGAAGTAACAGTACATTTTTTTAATTACATATTTTTTCCATAAAGTATCATCTTCCTATGCCAACTGCAATGTAAAGAAAATTCCAAGAGAATATTATCTCTATAAAATAGAGTTTCTTAAAGGTGTTTTCTAAAATATTTACTTCATGGAAAATCTGTTTTTTACTCTATGACTTCACTTAATCCTTATTTACTATGTTTCTGTTGTCCTATGTATAGAATGGAATTGTTACCCACTACTTTGAAATTAATGTAGCCTAGATAATAATCTAATACTTGTCATCTGTTTCATATATATGCTACATATAGTAGCTCTTTCTCCAGTATATTAAGCTTAGCATGGTCAGAACTCAGCCATTTGAGGGCTCTACAGCAACTCATTTTAAAATTGGGCTCTATGAAGAAAATATAAAGGAAGGGATGTTAATTTTCTGATGTATTTATGAAGCATTTTCAGAAAACTTAGAACTATACTATAATTTTAGGATACAAATTAAGAAAAGCCACTCTAATTTCTGAGCTCTAGAGTTTAAAAACCTAGGATAAATGTTAAACACATCTTTAATTAAAAGAGAAGAAAGCATTCTGCAGAAGCGTGTTAAAGAGACAGCTAAGAGAAATTTTTAATTGCTTACAAGCACACGAAGGATATGGTACTGATACATTCGTGTAGCAATACCTCTTCAGCAAGACCTTTTTCAAGGGCTAGACTCAAGTCAGAGGTAAACCCTGCCCTCTTACAGCTTTTTATCTTGTAAATAACTCTTCTTTGTCTGAATAAGAAATAGCACAGGGAAACAATTCACTATGAAGCCAAATTCTATTATGTTGAATTTGACTAATATAGTCAAGTATACCAAAGAATTCATTGACTCAACATTTTTCAAAACCTTTAAATGTAAGTAAGTCTACTGAAGACTTACAGACTTACAGAATTTCTGAAGATGATACCACTACAAAAATTCATAAAGCAGCCAGTGTTTCTTTTCTTCATGAACTTCCTCCCTTTATTCAACATTATATTTTCCCTTAAAAGGAAAGGGGAATATTGATGCATAGCCTTAGGTTATCTTTCATGCTCAGTTTTCATGGAGGGAATAGAATCTGAAATGGCTTTTCCTTTTATAGAATAGCTGTCTAGAAAACATAATGTTGAATCATAGAGTTTTTCTTAGTTATGGTACATGGACTCTCACTTTTAAGTTCATATTGTTTCAGCTACAAGCCTTTTTCAACTATCCTCTGTCCATTGCCCACCATATTTCTCATTACATTCTGACACTCAATAAGCAAAGCACATTGTTAATCTTATCCTGTCATATACTGGGGTTTAGGATACTAAAAAATCTTTATATTTTTAACCACCCCATTAAAATGTAGAAAGATAGCTGAATAGATACACAACCAAAGTAGATAAAAGTTAGTCAAATAAGCATATGAATAGATACTCAGTCCTGAAAGATTCTACCTTGAAATTTACTTTTTAATTGCATTATTTTTTATTGAAGTAACTTTTTATTGAAGTAATCATACAGTGTTTTAAACAAATTGTATGATTCAGAGGTACAGGATCACACCTCTTCAAGTGTTTGGTTACCATACCACACCGACCTCTTAAGCATTCATATCCTCTACCACAGTGGAATGGGACCCATCCCACTATATAGCACGTTTTTATCATCAGCTTATCTGTCATTAGGCACGTAGGTTGCCCCATAACTTGCCTACTGTAAATTGTGCTTCAGTGAACACTGGAGTGCATATATTTCTTCTAATTAATATGTGTGCATTCTTCAGGTAGGAGTACATATGTTGAATCATATGGTAGACCCATTTTTTAAATTGAGAAGTAAGATAATTTTTATTATTATGTTTGTCTCCAAGTGTTTATTTTAGTTTTATTTCTAAGTAATTCCAGATTTGCAAAAATAGTGCAGCAAATTCCTATGTACCTTTGCCTAGTTCTTCTAATAGTAATATTGATAGTAACATCATCATAGAACATATAAAACCAGGAAATGAACATACATACAAACCACAAATCTTACTTAGATTTCTCTTTTTTTACATGGATTATGGGTGTGTACATTCATGATAGTTCTATATGACTTTATCACAAGTGTAACTTTGTGTAATCACCACAAAACTCAAGCTATAGAACAGTCCCATAATTACAGAGTTACTTTCATATTTACCCTTTCTAACCCTCTTCCTAACCCTTGTAATGATCAATCAGTGATGTATTTCCAGAGTAGATCTGTGTTTAATGTTTTGAGAAGCTTCCATACCATTAAAAAGGAGCTGGACCAGTCTACATTCCCACCAACAGTATGCGAGGGTTTTTTGTTGTTTTTTTTTTTGCCACACCCTCACCAACACTTGTTACTTAGCTGTTTTAAATATGGATAAGTCTTACACGTGTGAGGTGGTATCTCAAGGTGGTTTTGATGTACATTTAGCTGTGGAGAAGTGATGATGAACATTTTTTCATGTGCCTTATGGCCATCTGTATGTATTCTTTGTAGAAATGTTTTATTTTTTTCTGCCCATTTTTGGATTGGGTTATGTGTTTTCTTTTCATTGAGCAGTATGGCTCTTTGCAAATCTTGGATATTAGCCCCTTTTCAGTTGTATGGTTTGCAGATACATTCTTCTATTCAGTAGTTTATCTTCTCATTTTAATTATAGGTTTTTTTTCACTATGCAGAAGCTTTTTAGTTTTATGTAGACTTTCATTTTATTTGCTTTGGTTTCCTTTGCCTTTGGATGCTAGTCTCCAAAGTTGCAGAATATTTTGACTGTTTTCTGGTTTCAGTTTTACATCCAAGTCTTCAATCCAGTTTACGTTAATTTTTGTGTATGCTATGAGGCAGTAGTTCTAGTTTGATTCTATGTCCTGTGGCTGTCTAGTTTTCCCAACATGATTTGTTTTTTTCCTTTCTCCATTGTATCAAGCTCTTATATTTATATCCATGTTGTAAATATAGAATTATTTCCAGTTTTTTATTGGTGTTCAACTATTTAATTATGTGTTCATTTATATTTCAATATCATACTATCTGGATTACTATAAATTGTAATATAGTTTGAAGTCTAGGAGTGTGATAGCTTATTTCTATTTTGTCAGAATTATTTTGACTAGTCAGAATCTTTTAATATTCCATATATATTTCAGTAATGTTTTTCTGTTTCTTTAAAGAATGTCATCAACACTTCGATAAGAATTGCATTCAATTTGTATATTGCTTTGAGTAGAATGGCCATTTTAACAATGTTAATTCTTCCAGTACATGAACAAAAAATAAATTTCTGTTTCTTTGTCTATTTCTTTGAGCAATGTCTTACAGTTTTCATTGTGCAGGGTTTCACCTCCTTTAAGTTTAGTGCTAGATATTTCTTTATTTTTGATGCTATAATAAATGAAATTCTTTTCTTGACTTCATTCTCTTCTAATCTGTTGTTTGTGTGTAAGAGTGCAACTGATTTTTGAAAATTGATTTTGTAGTATGCTTACTGTACTGATTTACTCTTTCAATTATTTGTTTTAGTGAAGCCACTGGGATTTTCTATTTATGTTATCATGTCATCTGCAAATAATAATAACTATACTAATTCCTTCCCAACCTGAATTCTCTTTATAGCTTTCTATTGCTTAATTGCTCTAGTCAGGACTTTCAGATATTATATTGAATATAGTAGTAAAGGTAGACATTCTTGTTTTGTGTCTGATCTTAGTGGAAAAGCATTCAGTTTTTCCACCACTGTGTATTATGTTCCTGATTCAGTAACATTCTTAATTGTTTATCTTTTTCCAT